TAAATCAAACTGTGTTCAATCATCATAGAACTATGAATCCCAGGTTGAAAGGACCGCAAGGATCATCTGGGCCAACCTTTCTAGGGCAAAGAATGACCTAGACTGGATGTCCCAGCACCCTGTCCAGCCCAGTCTTAAAAGTGTCCAATGATGGGACACTTCCCTGGGGAGATTATTCCAGTGGCTCGTTTTTCTCACTGTGAAAAATGGGAACCCTCTTGTGTCCAGTTGGAATCTCCCCAGGAGGAATTTGTGTCCATCACCCCTTGTCTTTTCCATGGGATTCCTTGTAAAAAGGGAGTCTCCGTCTTCTTTGTAGCCGCCCTTTAAATACTGGAACATGGTGATAAGGTCTTCTCTGAGCTGCCTTTTCTTCAGGCTGAACAAGCACAAGTGATGGACTGTCCTCACACAGCTTCCTGGGTCTTGGATCATCAAGGATGCTGCAGAGGCTGGAGACAGGCTGAGGGAGCTGGGCTGGGCTACAAGAAACCTGGAGAGGGGCTTTGGGCAAGGGCCTGTAGGGCCAAGGGGGATTTTGATTTTTATGTTTTTTTACAAACCCAGCTGGAGCCGGAGCGTGTGATTGCCTCTGTGATGTGCATCTGCAATGTAATTTAGAACATAGAGAACAGGACAAGCAGAGATCTGCTCGCAAACGTAAGACCCAGCATTGACCAATTCATTAATCTCTTGGCCTCTGTATTTCCTCTGACTGTTGGTAGTCTAAGCTCTGACATTCAAATGACTTTTTCTACGTTTGTTTGTTAAAGAACTAAGTACCCAGAGCTGACAATAGATGTCAGCAGCACCTCCAGCAACCAAACGCCGGCTGTGCCAGAGCCAGAGCAACAATCTGCCTTCAAGTCTATTTTTTAGGTAAGGTGAGAATATAGAAGCACATGGATGAGGGGCTGAAACTGTTGCCATGTCCTGAGGCTCAGTGTTACCTCACCAGGTGTCCCCAGGAAAACAGCATCAGCACCATCAGCTGCTGTGTCACCAGCTGAATTGCTGTGGCTTGCTCAAAGCCAGTGCCAGAGGGGCAGTGAGGGGAACCTGCTCCTCACAATGCATGAAAGGTCCAGGAGCAGCTTCTGACCCGGGCTGGGGGCACCTGTACCTTTCCTGGGGGATGCTGGATGAACCGACACGGTGTCATTCATTGCTGGTCCCAGCTCCTTCAAGCCAACCCAGGCCAGCAGAAGCAAGGCTTCTCTGCTGGGAAAAGAGCTGGTTCCCCATGGAATGTCCAAAACGCCTCTTGTCCCTCGGTGCTGCCGCTTGGACTGAGCTGCTGTCAGACAGGCAGAAATGTTGGGGTAGGAAGGGTGAAAAGGGGAAGGGATGGCTTGGGGGCAAAGCTCGCAAGGGGGACATGGGGGGGGGGGGGGGGGGGAAGTGCGGGGTCTTAACTGCTGGCACAACTGGATTTGTGTTTCCACAGGCATTCTTGGGTGCTCCAAAAGCAACTGCAGAGTGAGCACAAACGGGGTGTTTAGGAGGGGAGATCATGTGTTTAGAAAATAAGAAATCCTAAGGGTATAATATAGATTCATAGAATCCCAGACTGTTTTGGGTTGAAGGGACTTTAAAGCTCATCCAGTTCCAACTGCTGCCACGGGCAGGGACACCTTCCACTAGAGCAGCTTGCTCCAAGCCCCTGTGTCCAACCTGGCTTGAACACTGCCAGGGATGGGGCAGCCACAGCTTCTCTGGGCACCCTGTGCCAGCGCCTCAGCACCCTCCCAGGGAAGAGCTTCTGCCTAAGAGCTCATCTCAGTCTCCCCTCTGGCAGGTTAAAGCCATTCCCCTTGGCCTGTCCCTACATCCCTTGTCCCAAGCCCCTCTCCAGGTTTCCTGGAGCCCCTTCAGGCACTGGAGCTGCTCTAAAGTCTCCCCTTCAGGAGCCTTCTCTTCTCCAGGCTGCCCCAGCCCAGCTCTCTCAGCCTGGCTCCAGAGCAGAGCTGCTCCAGCCCTCGCAGCATCTCCATGGCCTCCTCTGGACTTGCTCCAACAGCTCCATGTCCTTCTTGTGCTGTGACACCCAGGGCAGGGCACACTGCTCCAGGTGGAGCCTCAGGAAAGTGGAGCAGAGGAGGAGACTATGTTGAATTTTGAGTCTTAGGGGGCAGAATTATCTTTGAGCAAGAGGAAGTGATGGGACAGATCTTTTCCCACCCGCAGCGTCTGAAGCTTTTCCCTCTTCCAGTAATATGGAGTAATCACAAGCTGCTGCTGCTCCAGAGCATGTTCAAGCTTTTCCCAGCAGAGCCCTTCTCCCCTTGTGCCTGAAGCCAGGCAGACTGCACATTCCTGGGGGATCTCTCTGGGCTGGGTGGAAGGATCTCCTCCTGCTCCCGCCCCAGGGCCGTGCAGGGGGCAGATATCCCTGTGTGGGGACGCAAGACGGAGCGGTGGGAAAGGGTTGGGAGCTGCCGGGCTGCTGCCCTCTCAGCCCACAGAGGGAAATCCAGCGCGAGACCTCGGGGACCTCCTCACTGCACGTGCTGTGTCCAGTTACCATCACTGGCTCTTTCAGTTCCCACTCCTTGAAATGAAGTCTCCCTGCTTTGGATGATGCAATTTTAAGTTCAGGTACTGTGTGCTGATGTTAAGAGAGGTGCACAGGATGCCCTCTTGCACAGTTAATTTTGATGAATGCCAAGTGTGCCCATGTATATTCATGCTCTGGGGTGAATGATTAACAGGAGGTATTTCCATCAAGATCCTGACACCTTCTCATTCTATGTGGTTGCTCCTCTGCTTTCACTCTCCTACCAAAAAATGCTCTTTTAATTATGTTTTTCTCTGTGACTTTGTGGTTTTTTTTATCTCTTTGCATACTCACAGCATCACCCCAGAGGACACGAGGCCTCTTTGCGCTTGTGTCCTGCAGGATCCCTCCTGCCCATGCTGCTTGTGTCAGGGTTGTGCCGCCCTGTGCCTGATCCTGAACAGGAGCCTCATTGTCCTTCCCGATGTCCCGGACAAAGCGGTATTGTCCTTCCCACAGCTCCAGCCCGGCACCCTGCGGCATCGAGCCGGTTCATCCCAACAGGAGACGCCGCAGGGCTTTCAGGAATGATAGCAGGACATTTCCCCTCTGTTCATAACTCAGGAATCGGTCCAGCTCCCACCTGGCTTACTTGAGGATGAGGAGGTGAGCATCGGCTGGGAAAACCTCCCGTGGGACCGGCCCAACCTAACTGAAAGGTTTTTTTTCATCTGCGTGCTCCTTTTGCTCCATACGTCTTTCAACATGGGGGCCTGTCTTGTGGTAGACTCCCAAGGGATTATCACAGGGCTAACGAGAATCTGCATGTTTAATATGACTGACCTAAAGAATGGCTTGGACTGAAATTCATAGAACCACAGAATCCCAGCCTGGTTTGTGCTAGAAAAGACCTTAAAGCTCATCCAGTCCCAACCCCTGCCACAGGCAGGGACCCCTTCCACTAGAGCAGCTTGCTCCAAGCCCCTGTGTCCAGCCTGGCCTTGAACACTGCCAGCGATGGGGCAGCCACAGCTTCTCTGGGCACCCTGTGCCAGCGCCTCAGCACCCTCACAGGGAAGAAATGTTTGATGATAAACAGTTTTTCAGGATTAAGATTTCTTGGGAGCTCCCAAATGGTTCAGAGCAGAAACTGGGAAAATTCAGGTGGCAGTGGGGTTTCTACTGAAGGACACAGCATATTTCAAACCACAAAGAGGGACATGGCTGCCCTGAGCCCTCTGCATCCTGCTTCAGAGTAACACCACAAGCTGCTTCCATGAATTTGTACCATTTTCTCCTTATGGCACTTAAAAAATGGGGGCTCTGAGTCTGAGTGTTGCAAAAGCACTTCTTCCCTCTTCCTTTTCATCCATGGTGAGGTCATGCTAATAGTGTTCTTCCTCTTTCCATGACTAAGATCCCAAAGAAACAAGAAGGGCAAAACAAGCTCATCCCAGAGGAGAGCTTGGGATCACAGAATCAGCCAGGTTGGAAAAACCCTTTAAGCTCATCCAGTCCACCTGTTCCCCAGCACTGCCAAGACCACCCCTAACCCATGGCATTGAGGCCTCATCTCCGCAGTGTGTGAACATTTGCAGGGACAGGGACTCCACCATCAGGGTGGGCTTTGAGGTGGCTGAATTAAGACAGTCTACTTTAGATATCAATAGGGAGTTCAAAGGTGCAATGTGGTACGTGAGCCGGCAGACTGCCCAGGTGTGGTAAAAGGAGAGTACACAAAAAAAAATACGGGGAAGTTTTACTAAAACTGAGCTTTTTTCCCCCACTCAATTACTGCACCAGGGGAAATTTTACAAGCCTGCCTCGGGAATTTGGGATACTGAGGAAAAGCGATCATTTGAACATGTACACTGTGGATCCAAGCAAGAGGTCCCGGTGGCTTTCCAGAAGTAACCCGTGAATCGTTTGTGGTCGGGGCAACGTGAGACACGTTTCCAGCTCCCGAGGGGGGGACACCTCAGGTGTTTGTGACCAGGGAATATCGCTCTTGTTTTCCCACCCAACACGCCCCTTTACAGACACCTCCCGCGGGTGCTGCGGGCGGAGGCGAGCGGGAGCCGCGCTTCCTCCATCGCTGGGGTTGATGTTTGTGGTTTATCGCCCCCCTCTGGGTGTTTAATCCCCTTTCACAGCCCGTTTTTCCCCTCTCACGGATGCGGCGCCTTTGCGCGGGAGGCCGAGCGCCAGCAGCGGCCCCGCTCCGCTCCCCCGGCCCCGCTCCGCTCCCCGCAGCGGCCGCGCTACTTCCGCCTAGCAACGCAACGCGGTTGCTAGGGCGAACCTGCCGCCGCGGCGCCCCGGAAGCGGTTGTGGGTGGCGCGGGCGCGCTGCTTCCATAGGGCGGTGCTCGGCGAAGGGCGGGGTAAGGGGTTGAGCGCTTCCGGGTCGGGGCCCTCCCCGTCGAGCGCGGCGGAGGGAGGAGCCGCGGCGGGGCGCGGGGAGAGCAGCGGCGGGGCCCAGCCCGGCCCGGCCCGCCTCGCCTCGCCTGCCGAGCCCAGCGCCGCCCAGCCCAGCGCCGCCCAGCCCAGCGCCGCCGGACACAGGTACGGGCGCGGGGGGCCCCGGGGCCGCTGCTGCAGCTGGGCCTGGGTGGTGGCGGGGCGGTCGCTGCGCCCCGCGGCCGGGCCGCTTGTAGGGGCCGCGCCGCCCGCGGTGGCGGGGGAGGCTCCGCTGAGCTCGGAGCCGCGGGGCGGCCGCGGGTCTCCTGGGGCTCTCTCGGCTCCAGCCGGGCGGAGGCCGGGCACGGAGCGGCCGGGGGGCCGCAGGGGATTCCGTAGCTCTCCTGAGGAGCGCTGAGGGGGTCCGGCCGTTGGTGGAGCTGAGCTCCGGGGGTCCCTGTTCGTGTGTAAGGGAACCGGCCCGGTGAGAGGTGCAGTGACCTCACAATGGTTGCTCACGGGCGGCTTTCCCCGGGTGTTGTGGGCTGTGAGCTCGGTCACAAAGGGGGGACGTGGAAGGGGTGGCCTGGACACCCGCCCGCCGCGGGCTGTGGGTCAGTCCGCAGCTGGAGCAGGGCACTGCCAAGGAGGGGGCTGGAGGCAGCCTGGGGACTTTTCTTCTGAAGCTGATCGTGTTCTCAGGTGCGAGGGAAACAAAGCACTCCCTGGGAGTGTATTTATAGCTTCTTTGTGTGAAGAAGTTGTACATCCCCCCTGTATATGAAAAACGTGTGAGTGCTGTTTGGTGTTGTATGAAACTTTAAGGGTTGGGCTTCATCGCCTTGTCCAAGCTGCTTGTGAGGCTTCATCTTCCTTCCATGTACTGTGCTGATGCTGGCCATCCTTTTCAGCCTCTCAACAGTGACTTTTCAGTTGGTAGGAAGCGTTGTGTACTGCGGCCGAGCTCATGGTCAATCTTCAGTCCACGCTGCCTCCTGTTCCCGGATTCATGGCAGGTTTTCCCTTCCCTGTTACGGTGTGTCGCTGTGTTCAGGTCCCACTGTCCTAGGTGTGATCTCAGACCTGGTTATTTTTTTTTTTATCAGTGAGCTAATGCTTGTGTGTAACCGGCCTGTGCTGCCACTCCCCATGCACTCAGGACTTGCCTTTGCCTCCTCTCAGCTCCCTCCCCCTGGCTTGATTTACCTCAATAAACCATCTCAACCCCTAGTCTAGTGCTCTGGGGGTAACTTGGTGCCTGTCAGCCTGCCGGGAGAGGATGATGGGTGAACTGGGAAGCAGGAGCCTTGTTGCTGTTGAGAAGCTATTCCCAAATATCAGCAGCACTTTCACAGGTGTATTCCAAAAAGTATAAAGAGCACCTTTGAGCCCCGAGTCTGGGGAAGTTGCTCTCTTAATGCTGCAGGAGCCACGGAGGATTCCTCACTGCTTGCCAGTTGTTGAAGTTTTGGAAGTGTTGCCCAAGTGAAACGTTACTGATAGGAGAATTTGAAGTTTATCATGTTGCTGTTGTAGTGAGATGCATGGAGTGGTTGTCTCCATGTGAAGCCGGGCTGACACTGCAGCTCTTTGAGCCAGGGATGAGCTGGAGATGCTGCCAGTCCGTGTGTAGGGAATGTGAGCGCTGGTGGGGGGGTGACCAGATCAGAAAGTAATTTCAGTCTCATGGTGTGTAGAAAAAACAGTAATTCCTAGTGAAAGCCCCCAATGTACTTTGAGAGCATGGAGGGTGGTGGTGCAGACTGGCCAGGCAGTCTGTTCTCACACTGCAGGTCCTGCTGGCGGTGCGCTGCTTCAGCTGCAACTGCAGCCTTTGGGCAAAAATGCTGCCGACTCCAGTGAAACTGCAGACTGTCCCCTTGCTAAAACCGGGCTTTACGCTTACACTGTGCAGAAGTACGTAGGTGCAAGTCTTTCTTCAAACATCGTCTGCCCTGAAATTGTTTTTTCTGGACACAGCCAAGTGTCCTTCTGGCTCCGCCTTTGTTTCTTAAGAGCTGTTGGGCTGTGGGGAAGGCAAGGTGCAGCTCTCTGCTTTACCCTGCTGCGCTGTAGCAGCTTATTTGCACAGAATCATTAGTGTTGGAAGGGCACCCTGGAGATCATCCGGTCCAACGCCCTGCCAAGGCAGGGCCACACAGACCAGGTCACACAGGAGCATGTCCAGGTGGGTTTGGGATGTCTCCAGAGATAGAGACTGCACAGCCCCCCTGGGCAGCCTGTGCCAGGGCTCTGCCACTCCGTGACGGAAAGAAGTTCTTTCTTGTGTGGAGGTGAAACTTGTTTGTGTTTTAGTTCATGGCCATTGCTACTAGTCCTGTCACTGGGCACCCCTGGAAAGTGTCTGGCATCATCCTCCTGGCACCTGCGTTTGAGGTATTGATCTGCATTGATGAGATCCTCTCTTAGTCTGCTCTTCTCTAGACTAACCAGGCCCAGCTCTGGCAATCTGTCCTGCTCTTGCTGGCATAGGCCAATTTGGGCTTCTTGTTGTCTTCTGCTATACTCCGGCCACAGTGGTGGACTGTACATACCTCTCTGTGTTTGTGTCTCTCCTTCGGTGCTTTCAGAAAGCACTCACCCTACAGCTTCTTATTTTCAGACCACACACACCAGCCTTGGCAGTTGCTCTTTTCCAAGTTCTCTGTTGATCTCTTCTGCACATGTGTTTGCTTAAAGCTAACCTGATTCCCACTGACCAAAGCAGGGAACAGAATGGCAGGGGAGGGCTTTCTGTGCTGCAGGTAATGTCTTTGTGCTGGGCTCCTTCACGTCTGAGGGAGCTTGGTGGCCCACGGGCCACAGCAACAAGCTAAAACCCAGTGTCTCACTTGGATTAAAGAGCCTTCCAGTTTGTAGTACTGTTTCTTGCGAAGTCTGAAGCCCACAACCTTGCCTCAGTCCAGTCCATCTATCTGGCTGTTCCGCAGGAGTTTTTATGCTGCTCCAGTTTTCTGTATTGACAACAGTTTGACTTCCTACAGCAAAGCTGCTGATGGAAAATGTTCTGGTGGGAGTGCTCGAGCAGGGAGGTTCACAGAACACCGTTGCGAGGGGAGCTGGGTGAGATCGAGTGCAGCCTTGTCCATGGACGCTTCCTACCTTCCTTACACCCAGATTTGCTCCTTTTTGTGTTTTTTAAACTAATTTCCAGCTCTTCAGAAGCAATTGGCTGCTGTGTCTTTCAGGTTAACAGATTAAATTCTGTATAATGCCCTAAAAAGTGCTACCAGATGAGACCAGGAATCCACCTGACCCTGATCCTGCTTGCTAGGAGCTGCAGCAGATGTCTGAGTAGGGGAGTACACAAATACAGCAGATCTGATCAGGGGAAATGATGCTTTCTTCTTCTCTCTCCTATAGTTTATGCCCCCTCCTGAGCTGGGTGTTTGAATTTAGCAACCTTCACGCTTCTTTTCCATGGGTTTGTCCTCTCGCTTGGAGCCATCTTGATGTTCATTGCCTTGTAGAGAGAGACACAAAGCTGGCCACTGAGTGTGTAGGCTACATATTGCATGGCCTGCACGTGAGGGAGAGACAGAAAAGAATGGGGGTGTCCAAAAAAAGCCCAGAAAGAAATAAATGACTTCTTTGCTTTCTCCGTAACATTCACAGTTTTAGCAAACTATATTTTTCTGGTGGTCTTTTGGCTGGGATGAATTGGCCTTGTCTGTTGAGACTTCCCTTTCCAGATCTCTTTTCCTTGCTCTTTGTGTCACTGCCAGCTCTGCTCCACCTCCTCGAGATGGGTGTTAGCAGGACGGGTGGCACACATGGCTGGCGGCAGAGGTGCTGCTCAGATCAGAAGGGGGTGTTTATGGTGTTGTGCCTCTTCAGAAAACACTGGGAGCTGTGGATTTGTGTTTTATTTATGTTATTGTCTCTGATTACAGACGTTCTGCCCATTCCATAGTGATCAAAGCACCATGGAGCTCATTTTTTTGTGGAATACTCTGCTGCAGCCCTGGTGTCCTGTTTCCCAGTGCTGGCTCGAGATCAGTCTGTCATATTTTTTGTCAAGTTGAAGTTAGGGTGGTTGTTCCTGATGTGCTGTGCTTTGAATTGTGTCACCCACTCATATCACGAGATTTTACTGCAATTTCTTAGAGTCATTGCTCTTACTTACTGATCATGTTGAATTATTCACAGTAACAAATGTTGGCATCTTCGTACTGCCTTCTCTTGCACAGCTTGGTGTAGCAGAGCAGAGTCCTTTGGCCAGTCCCCTCCACTACAAAATTGACCAGTGGTGCTTTTCTTCCTCTTCCTTTACCCTTTTTTAACCAGTTATTTTATATATGTGAGGGATTTTTCTTTTTATCCTAGAGTTTTGTTCTCCAAAGAGCTTTGAAGTATCTTGTCATGCAGTATATTTGTTTGGGTTTTATTTTCAGTTAACTGTCTGCTGCCTTTTCCTTATTCACACACTGTCTCCTGCAAAAGAAGGAAGGAAAAAAAATAGACAACAACCTCTAACTGACTCCTGAGACATGACTTCATTTTGTAAAATATAATTAGCCCTGCATCCATTTAGATGGTTCTTTAGGACAGTTTTGATGTGCCCGGCCTGGCTGCCTGGTTTGTGGTTGCTCAGATGGCCCTGAATGGTTCCAGTGAAAGCTGGAAGAAAGGGTCTTTCAGGTACCCTCGTGCAGCTTCAACCAAGAAACTCTGCAGAGATCTCCCCATCTTCCTCCTGTGTGATTCTGTATGGCAGGGGAAGTTGTTGCTGGCACCTTGTCTTCTGAGCGGTCCTCTGCCTCCCAAAGCCTTATTCGCTGGGCTTCCCTTCCTGGAGGCAAGGAGGGAGAGTGGAGATGGCCAAGCTCAGCACAGTGTGTGTCAAAACCAGTTTTAACTGCTGGGAGACATTGTCTTGATTATTGAACCCAGTAAGAAATCATGTGACTTTTTAATATCTCTTTTTTATTTTTTTATATATACATATATATATAAAAGAGTCTTACAAAATTTTATTTCATTTCCTTCTTGGACACTCAGCCTCACTGTGTTGACTGGGTTGGATTCTTGGCTTCTATAACTTTTATGGCATGGTGAGATCACATGGTGGGGGCTCATCTCAATACTCCATCCTCCATTCAAGATAAAGGCAAGAACTGCTGCTTCCAGTGCCTAAAGGGGCT